AGCGTTAGTTGGTTTGTGTGCTACAGTGATGCCATGTGGTTGTAATAGTCTGTTGGTTGTTTCTGAGATGTTTTTGAGGTATGGGAGTGTTATCCTTTTAATAGGTTGCACTGATTGTGGGGGGTTGTGTGGTCTTTTGATAAAGTTGCATGGGTATCCATTTTATTAGAAGATGTTGTATAGGTGATCTGTTTCCTCTTTCTGGTGTTCTGGGTTGCTGCAGTGTGTTTGTGACCACAAAGATAAAGCTTATGTCACTTCCTCTGGGATCTCATAGATACAGTGTTGGCCTGCAAATGCAGATGCACTGCCAGTCAAATAGTAGAAATCTGCCAGTTTTGATAATGAGAATCATCTATTCAGAAATGGGGAAGAGATCCCAAAGCTAACCAAGGAGTTCATCATGATCACAGCAAATTCATCATGTCCCTGTGCAATGACACCTGCTGCTACATACTTGCATTTCTAGATCAGGATTGTCATACAACAATGCCAATATATTGGCTATAAAGACAGGAACCCAGTCGGTTTCTGCTCAGTTGCCTGTGGTCTGTATAGCAGACCACCTTGCCTCTGAAGATGCCCACCACAATTGCCGGCAAAACATCAGGAAATCTGTTATCCAGACCACAGTCACTAAACCCTGAAGCCAACACTGCCCCACAGATACCAGTTGTGAAAGTATAATGCCAATATAATTTGGTGATAACATTTTGATGAGATTTGAAGAGATCTTGAAAGTACAGGAGGTTTTAAATTTTCTTTATTAGAAACAACATGTTCTTCTCTTGCAAACTAATTTAGTTGTTATTATCTTGACAGAAAATGTTTCTCCTGTTTCTGAAGTAATGGTATCCTCTCCAGTCATGCCCGAAGCAGGCTTAGCCATTCAGCGGAAGGAATGGGCACCTCTAGACCTCACCCTCTATGTTAGGTAAATGGCACTACATTTTATATAGTTAGACCAAGACACTGTTAGTTAAGAAGTCAACAGCTGGAAGTTAAGAAACATTTTAAACACTTAACTTGGTTTTTGTTTGTGCCCTTTGCAATTAGTAACTCATCGTGCCTCCACTGGGTTTATAATTGAGCCATCTCCTGTTCATGTGGAATGTACTTAGATTTTAAGTTACCTTCTGAAGAGAATATCTGTAGATGTAATCTCTATTTTAGAAAAACACTGCCTCTGCCTGTCATGAAGAATGATTCCATTATCCAACAGCAAGAGATACATAAAGCAGAGGAAATAAATACTTTTAGACATTTTCGAGAACTGGTTCTGGAACACAGGCAGCAAGAACGCATGGCTAGGTATCGGTTGAAGCAAAATGTACTTGAAATGTATGAAGATTTACAAGTAAGTCTGTTTATTACTGACAACTTCTTTATTGTATTAATTCTTGCCTATTTTTGCTTTGTTAAAGATTCTGATCATCGGATATTTTACTCCACAAATTCCCAAACATACTTCTGAATTTGCTCCTATCATCTTTTCAGTTTTGACATACTGACTTTGGAGAAAAATTAGAATAAGTGCTGTTGGACTCACATTTAAAATAATATTTAGTATAAAACATTGTTTATTAAACACCTAATAGTTTAGTGAGAAAACTTACATAGATAATAGGCAAAGATACAAAACTACATAACCCACTGTACTGATAAATCCATCTTGTTAATTCATTTATTCTGGTAATACCTATACTCAGGACTGACTTATGGGAATGGAATCTTGTTATGCTGTAATTTTAAATGAAAACAAATTATTTGTTTTTTTTAATGAACAGACAAAACTTCAACACAAAATAAAGAATTTAAAATGAAAATAAACACAATAACAAAAATAAAAGCAAGAAATCCTTTTTATGGGTAGCAAGAGTCTGGCGATGAATAACGTTGTAATTAGGGCTCTGCCCACTTTCCAAATAATCTGGAAGAAGTGCTTTGGACCTCACATGAGCACAGCACCTCTCTGATCTCATTTAAGGAGCTCAGCTTTTTTTCAGGCTTCCACCAAGGAGTTAAAAAAGAGTGCAGCAGCTTTTAGACTTTAATTATGAGTCAATCTGATGAATAACAGGGAGATGCTGTCCTTGAATGAAGTCTGAAGCACTTTTTTAAATTTCAAAGCATGGACCTATTGATTGGTTAGCAAATACCATTTCAAGAAAACAAAAGAATATTTTACAATTGTGGAACGTTGGCTGTAAGCTTCCTGCCTCTGAAGAAAGTGACAGATAATATAGAGCAGACTATATTAGCACTCTGGAGTGAGGGAGACACTATTATAATACTGACGTCTTCTCCAAATAATTGTAATTCTAACTTTCAAAGAAATGAAATAAAATTACTTAAGAACTACAGGTAGTCCTCACTTACCAACCACAATTGGGACCAACAACTCCATTGCTAAGTGACATCATAAAATGAAACATCATGTGATTGCACCAGACTTGTGACATCAGTTCACATCAGTCTTTAAGTAAATAACCGCAGGTCATTAAACACAACATCATGTGACCATGACTTGCGACTACCTGCTGGTTTTCCTGTTGACTTTGCTTGTCGGAAGCCAGCTGTGAAAGTCACAAATGGTGATCACATGACCACAAGATGTTATAACTATCGTAAATGCACACCAATTGTGAAGCACCTGAATTGCAATCGTGACCACGGGGATGCTGCAATGGCTGCAACTTCAAGGGCCTGTTGTAAACCTACTTTTTCAGCCCCATCGTAATTTCGAATGGTCACTGAACAAGGCAATCAGTAAGTGAGGACTGCCTATATATGGTCTTTTTAAGATATATACACAAAATATACAAAAGGAAAATAATATTTTTTCTTAGTGTGATAATTCTACAATATGGACAATTAGCTTAATAAAAAGGGAAAGGAAAAGACATGTAATTTTAGGATATATAAACCCCTTCTGGTGCCATAATTAGCAGAAGTATGTGTGTGTGCATGTATGTGTGTGGAGACACACACACATGCACACACTTCTGCTAATTATGGCACTAGAAGGGGTTCATGTCTGTGTGTGTGTGCATACACATACACACACGCACACATATATGTATACACATACATACAGATTGATTTTGCATGGAGTGCGTATATTTGTCTTTGGACAGGCATCCTTAGATGAAGCACGAAGCAGGATCCTCAGTATCCGAGAAACATATAGAACCAAACTACTGGAGGCTGAACTTGTAAGACTAGAAGCACTAGCAGCTGAAGAAGCTGCCCTTCGAGCAGAGCAAGAGAAGAAAACCCCAGATTTGCAGAAAAAAAAGGGAGGAAAAAGTGTAGGAAAGAAAAAATAAAATATTTTCTGACATATTTTCGTAACTTCACTGATGAGAAAAGAAAATACTGTTTACTATACTTATAGTTTATGTATGTAGAACAGAGTTTTTTAAGTGCCGTTTTTTAAAGTATTATTTTGCTCTCCATTAAGTATTGCATCAGCCTTTTTAAATGATGACACTGATTTAAAAATTGTATAACTTTACATTGAATTTTGCATTATGCTTATATGTTAAGAATTTTGCATTATGCTTTATATGTTGCAATAAAGTTTTCCAGCACAATTATTTGATCAGGCCTTTTGCTATTTTTAGCCTATTCCTAGAATGACCAAAAAAGTAAAATCAAGAAGCCAAGAAGAAGGCATAAGTTATCAGCATAATACAAATTTAGGTACTTGCCTATGAGTTGTCCAGCACAGCTATGCAAAGACTCCTGAATGTGGTTGCAGGGGAGGGCTCCACTCTGGGCCTCTAGCAGCAGCTTGATCTGGTTCTAACGCTCCAGAAGTGGCACAGACTGGGGGTGAGATTGGAAAAAAATCTATTATCTCATTGCCTGGCATGGGAAAGACACATGGCTGCAACTTCAGTTTTGCTGTTCATTAGAACAGAATGAAGTTCATAAACAAGCTATATAGTTAATGTAAGAATGAGGTATACCAGATGCCAGAAATTACTATAAGAAATTGCTGTAAGCTCTTTTACAATCTGGTTGTGTGGTTGTCTTTAAATGCATTTGGCTTTATAGGTAGTCCTTGATTAACAATGGTAATTGGGACCAGAATTTCTGTCGCTAAGCAATGCGGTCATAATGTGCGATGTCACGTGACCACATTGCTTAGCAACAGCAATCCCGGCAGTCCCCGGTGCTGTTGTTAAGCAGGGTTTGCGGTTTGTTAAATAAGGACCTCCTCACAACTTCCTGCTGGCTTCCAACAACCAAAGTCAGTGGGGAAGCCGGCAGGAAGTTACAAGTCGCAGGAGGATTGCAAGCAGGCTGGCAGGTAAGTAAGTGGGTGCTGTGGGGCAGGGGAGGCTGCATGAGGGTGGGCAAGGTCCAGCACAGCACAAGTGCAGCACAGCTTGGGATGGCTGCTGCAGGGTGAGGGAGGGCACGCAGGGGTGTGCAAGGGGCTGGTGACACACAGCACAAGTGCAGCAAGGCTTGGGGTGGCTGCTGCCAGGCACAGGAGACTTACCAGAATGAGTTGTGACCTTCCCTGCCACGATCCCCTTTGACTTTGCTTGTCGGAAACTGGCAGGGAAGCTCACAAATGGTGATCACGTGACTGTAGGACGCTGCAACCATCGTAATTGCAAGCTGGTTTCCAAGCACCCAGATCATGACCACATGACGGTGGGGCTCCTGGGACAGCCAGAACTTTGAGGACTGGCTGTAAGTACCACTCGTTCAGCCCCATCGTTAACTTCAAACAGTCACTGAACAAGTGGTCATTAAATCAGGACTACCTGTATTGCTTTGAGTGTTGTAATATCAGTAGTCCCCATAGAAGGGAACACCTATGGCAAATTTCAGACAGATTGAGGTCGTTCTGATATTATTGTGGTTGATCGTACAGTCAATGAGATGTTTAGACTGGATTTGGCATTTTTGTCCACCTATTGAGTCCTTCCCATGGACCTGAGATAGGCAGATGTTGTTTATTAATATTAAAGGTATCGTTGCAGGATGTCAGCTGTTCCAAGTAAAGCTGCTTTTTGCAATTAACTGATGTTGATTTTATCAATGCCAATGGTCTTCAAGTAGTGCTCCAGATGTTTTGGGATCGCACCTAAGGCGCCTATTGGTACTATCTTTGTTTTCTTTTGCAATAGTCATTCTACTTCTATTTGCA